CTCCCTCCCTCCCTCGAGCAGGCATCGCCCAACGCGCAGGGATGCACCTGCAAAGGGCCAGGGCCGAGGTCAGGACGAGGCGGTAACCTGCCTGCGGGCGGGGTGTGTGTCGGGTGCGGCGTATGGCGGGGGAGCGCGACCTACTGAGCAGAACAAAAGAAAAATAATCTCGGAAGGATTTCTGAACCACGCAGCGGTCAAGGTCAAGCCGCGGCGATGCGGAGTCAGTCACCCCCCGCGGACACCTGCCCGCGCCGAAAGCTCATGGGCCGCGCCCGGGACGCCGCGTGGCGGCGCGCCCCAAAGCAAAACACTAATACGCGCACGGCGCGATCTGGAGCAGGGCCGGGGCAGCCGGGCCGGGCTGGCCTTGCAGATGCAGCGGTGCGGGCTCGCGTCGCGACCAACGCTTTTCAAGTAAAAGTATGTGAAATCACAAGAATGTATTACAGCCTAAATGCCAATTCGTTTTTTTTTCTGCGTGGAGAGGGGGGGGGGGTGGTATTTATGATATTTTGTAGAGGGAGTTCTAATAAAACAAAATCAGACTTCAGAAAGCAAAATTTTTACTCCCAGGTTTAGAGGGTGCTCTGTTAGAGTGCACTAGGCAGAAGAGAGCGAGAGAGGACCCTGACCCGCACGAGCTATACTCTAGGAAGAATACCCGCAAAACCGCCGACAAAATGCAGAGTTTTGTACTAGTAATTGGAGGCGCACGCCTCGGAGGAGCCCTGCACCCTGAACCCGGCGGGGGGCTGCTAAGAAAGACTCAGATAGGAAAATTCCAGCAACTGAGTCTTTCTTAGCAGCCTCCCGCCCGCCAAGCCTTTTTTTTATTGCCGCGGTCGCTCGGCCAAGTCTTTCTCGAAGGAAGGTATCGGGCACTAGGATAAGCCAGCGCCGCACAGCAGGCGTGCCTGCGCATTGCCTACGCGCACGGGGCCGAGCGAAGAAGGGAGCTGAGCCTGAGCAAGCTCCTCAAGTGCGGCACGCTGAATGCTGTCAACTGTTTCTCAGTGCGAACTCGTCCCGTCCTCGCCGCCCTGCTGACCCGTGGTTCACTCACTAGCTGGGGTGCGTCTGGTGGCAGTAAGGTCCAGTAGCTGCTGGCCCGGCCTGACCTAGGTGCGCGTGGACGCTGCTGGTGGCGGTCGGGACGCAAGGTGCTCGCAGGCCCGGTGGATTTGGAGGTGCTGCGCGCTGCCTGCTTCGCGGAGGCTATTGCAGTCGCGAGGACGAGTATGACGCCGACGATGGTGTCGTCTGGAGCGCGGCTGGACGTGCACTGCTGCCGGGTGCGGGCGCGTCAGCAGCCCCGGGAGGAGGAAGAGCACTACTGCCATAGAGCACGCACCTCGACACCCCCACGTCGGCCTCACGCCGCCGCCACGCCGCGCCACGCCGCGACACGCCGCGGCACGCCGCCGTGTCGTCATAATGTTTGCATCCGAGAGCAAGGTCGCTGCACATGCCGTAGGTGCATCGGACGTTACCACCGCGTCAGCGGAAAACAGGAGCGGGGCGGCCGGCGCGCGCCGTGGCGAGGGAGGTGCGGAGCCGGAGTCGGGACTACGGGGGCGGGGGCGGGGGCAGAGAGCTAATCACATATCGTCCAAAAAAAATGTACTCGAGCCTCCATGTGGCCCTGGCGTGCAGGGTGAGGAGCGCGGAAGTGCCCTTTCGTAGAGACAGTCTTGCGGATTTTCTAAAAATAAGGCCCCCTATGACTTATAATCACGACTCTCCTGGTGCCCCTGTTCGACGCGGTACCCCTCCCCCTCCCCACCACCGCCCCGCGCACGATATTGTAGCAGTATCGGCGCGGAGAGAAGGGGAAAGGTCGTTTGCACCTTGCATTTATTCGTTACAATGAGGTTGCGATGGACGTGGCGTCGAGCTGGGGGAGGAGACGGCCACACAGTACGGACATGTCGTGTCCACGCGGTCGCGGAGACGACACCGCGTCCCAATGTGGGACATTGTCCCCTTCGCAACGCCTTCCACGTTGTTTATTTATTCTGCCCCCCCCTCCCCCCGAACCCCCCGGTCTTTCTCTTTCCCACCTTAACCCAACCCATCCCCCTCTTCTCGGCTTCGGACCTTTGTACGCGGGATGGTGTAGTGTATGAATGGAACGATGACGACGCGGGGCGTGTTGTCAATCTTGGCAGGGAAAGCGGTCGAAATGAAGGAGTTATATGTGGAGGTTTGTCAAAGGAATGTGAAATGTATAGAAAACCTTGCACATGTTTATTGTTGACTTTCGATTTTCTTAAAAAAAAGAAGAAATCTACATCATTTATAATATGAGCTAAACAATATGTACATGGAAGTTTTTGATGTACCAGCTGGCGAAATACCCCATCGGAATGTTTTAAAGGGTGTCCCATGCCAGGTGGGATTTTCCCATCACTTCTTTGAATCCATATCCTGCATGTGCATATCGCTTTGCAGGCACGGAGAGCTGGGGAAGATGAGGCAAAGGCAACATCAGTTGCACAGCCTAAACCAACCACGGTGAGGCCGTCGATTCAAACTAGTGGCGGGAAAGTCCCGCCTCGAATGGGACACCCTGCAGTTATACGAATCCGTATGCTCGCGTGCGGGCGGTCTGCCTACTCGCAAGGCGCCATAGCTAGAGACAGCGTTGACGAACCCGCCCACCCACCTGAATGCGGTAAAGTACAATTACAAAATCCGACGGGGTTTTTCGGCATCTCGGTGCATCAAGTTCGTCACATTTTTTTATTGAATAAAAGTTTCCTGTGGGTATTCAGCAAGTGTTTCGATGCATCGACAGCGACAGAGTTGCGGGCTTGCGGAATGCAGACTCGCTCGGGACGGAGGGAGCGGGCAACCCCGCCACACTGTATCGCAATCAAAGAAACACCCGGTACAAAGATTCTAAAAGTTGAGATAAGGACGAGTCCTATTGGTTACTCCACTGGTTCTGAAACGGACTTGGACGAAGACGAGGACGAATAAGAACTTGCCCGTTATTTTGCCGTCTTCGGGGACATTCTTCTTACCACTGACTGTGAACAATTGTCACCATATTTGTACTAAATCCAACAAAGTACCATTCGCGAATGCTTCGGTTTTTCAACCGAATCACTAGAGAAGAGGTTCGGATAACACTCCCCATCCTCGACCAATCAGCACTTTCCCCTCTCAGCCCACCGTCCGCCTGCTCGGAGGCGCAGACGGTGTTGTCGGGGTGGGCGCCGTGGTCGGGGTGGAGGCCGCGCTCGGGGTCGGCGACGTGCTAACGGCCTCCCGATTCTCACCGAGACTGCCCGGGTCTTGGGCCGTGTCCCGCTTCACCGCGTCACCGCCGCCGGAGCCCTTCTTCTGCCAGCCCTTGGTGTACGTCTTGCGGTAGAAGTCGTAAAAGAGGAGGCACAGAAAGACGTTCTGGGGGACGATGACGCCGACCGTGAACTTGGGGTACGTGCAATCGGGCTGGAAGATGAGCTGCAGCCAGTGGAGCGAGATGAAGCCAAATTGCACCTGTGTGAGGGAGCGCACGGAGCATCACAACCAAGTAGCCGAAAATGACACACGGACGAGACACAAAATTGAAGCAGTAACAAAATTGTTTACCATTTGCATTTGGGTGAGGTACTTTTTCCACCACCCGTACCTGCCCATTTCCGGGCTCAGGATGGAGACGAGGTAGTGGGAGTAGAGGGCGGCATGCACCAGGGAGTTAGCGAGCCCGACGAACGCCCCGTGGCCGCCCGCCAGGAACTTGGTCGAAAAGTACCCGATGAGAATCATGCCCGTGTGGTGGTAAACGTGAAGGAAACTGATCTGCCTGGTCTTTTTCCGGAGGACGAAGAAGATCTGGAATAGAAAAAGGAGAGCGTAGTTGTGAGGAGTGCTATCGTGCGATATCACACTGAGTGGCCCGCGGACCCATTTCTCTTCAAATGGTTATACGACGGGGTGTCCCATTCGGGGTGGCATTTTCGAGCGACTCATTGACTCATTTGAATACACATCGCTCTGCTGCGGACCGCTGGGCCGTGCGTCTGAACTCAGGACAGTTTGGCTTCACTCGAAAACGTACGTCGGAGATTCAAGTGAAGGTAAGCCAACCTCAGGCAGCAGCCTAAACCATCCGCAGCGAGGTCATTGGTTTGAACTTTTGGCGGGAAAGTCCCGCCTTGAATGGGACACGGGACACCCTGTACAGTACCGCATGCAGGCGTGCGCAGGCGGCTTTGCGTATCGTCGTTGCCTCGTCGCTGACCACGACACCTCTCTGGCCCCGAACGAGTAGGCAACCCGCCCGCACGCTTGCATGCGGCGCAGTCTAACCGCCAAAGAGAAGGAGCCCGTCGGTCACGCCGCTCGTAGCTCATTGCCGAGAGGCTTTGCGTAGAGTTAATACCGTGTCGAGAAGATCGGCGTATTTCAGCATGTAGTAGAACCAGAAATCTCCAGCAATCTAAAACAAAAATTGAACAGAGGACAATTTGTCGTTAAAATTAAATAACGATTTAGACAATGATGGAAATCAAGTTCAGCCAACTTAGGTGACCTCCGCGGAATCCATTTTACTTTCATAAGTCAGCCATGCCTATTCATGAGAGAGGGGAAGAGGGGGGAGGACGGCGGGGCCGGGGCCGCGATTGGAGGGGACCAATTGCAGACTTCCAAAGCCCTCGCCCGCCACCACCGCCAGCGACTGTGGATATTGCGATATTTCTTTTTGTTGTTTCAAACCAAAGCCCCCCCCCCCTCCGACCACCAGAATTCGGGCTCGTTTTAACATGTATCTGGGCCGCAGCAGAAGCCCCAACGGCGCAAGTCGGCGTGGCCCGGGCCCGGCAGGAAGCGGGTGAGCTTGGAGACCTTCCGGACGGGACAAAGTCCGGCCCGTCGACGGCAGCGGGCCGGCGCGGTGGGCGGGGGGTCTTTGCTCGCGACCGCGCCCAGGACACTCACCCTAAGCGAGTGCTCGTCGGTCCCGTAGTTGACGGGCTCGCAGAACATGTTGTACTGGCCGCTGTAACAGCAGACGATCGCCTGCGATAGGGCGGAGAATTAAACGTAGTCTCGAGAGCAGGTGGTAATTGGCATATCGCAAGCAGGAGCCGGGCCCCGCACTCACCTCCCTGACGACGTGCAGGCTGCAGACGACCTGCACCGCGTTGTAGACGATCATGATCTTATCCAGGTTGAAGGGCTTGCGGTGCTGCATGAGGCGAGGCCCCAGGCTGAGCACAAAGTAGAGGTAGGCGCCCAGGACCATGAGCACGGGCGCCAGTCCGCCTACCATGAACCAGTTCGACGTGCGGGGGTCTGGGGGAAAGAAAAGACCCGTCAGTCCTGGTGTCTCGTCACACTTAGAGATTGTCCAGAAAGGAGGGGTCCGTTGTCGTCAGATTCATTCGGCGATTTACCGGAGCTCGGCGCCTGCGAGACTCGGGGCAGGCCAACCCGCAGTACAAGTATGCGCCGTTTACAAGATGTTGCCTACCCACTAGGCGCTATGAGAGCTTGCATTGGCTAAACTTGGTTATTCCTAGCGGCTCTTGACGGACGTACCTTCCGGATAATGCCTACCGCACGCGACACGCTCGTTTTCACGGACACTCACCGCTGAGCTCTTCGAACGTGTAGCGGTAGAGGGAATACATCCTCTGCACGATGGCCGCCATGGCTGCGGGTCTTGGTGGGCGTCGTCGCCCACGTGCTAGTGGTGGTGGTGGTGGTGGTCCCTCTCAACGAGTGCCTCGTCGTGGCCGCCGCGGCACGGCAACGTCCTGGGTGAGGGGGCGCGTCGTCGCCCGGAGCCGTCCCTCGGCTCGACGTCGCGACGCAGAGTGACGGAGGGGGACGCAGCCCGCGGCCCGCTCGCACCTCGCCGCCGAGGAGTGAGTGTCGCAACGCGCTGGACTACACACTCGTCGTCGCCGCCCCCTGCCCCTGTCCTGGCCGCCGGGTTTGTCGCAATGAGCCTCGCCACGTGCTTTTGTACCCCCGGCAGCCGGGCCGGCCACCATCAGCCGCAGAGGTGCTTCTGGTCATGTTCCTTTTAATTATTATTTGATTGAATTAATTTTATTTTTTGGTTGAGGAGCAAAGGGGGTGGGATTTAGGTCACCCCGTCGTCGTCAGGGTCGGGACCGACACGGCAAACAATCGAGGTTAGAGCGTTTATATTCGTTTAGCGTCGTCAGCTCAAACCAGACACGCGAGATATCGAATGGACTCGATACATGTTTATTGGTCTCCGATATCGATGACGGCGGCGGGTGGCGTGGCGGGTCACTCATCGCGGTTCCTGTCGGTGTCCGCTCCACTCGGAGGCGCCGGGCCGCCGGGCCGTCGTGTCCACCTCGCGTGGCATTCCCGCGTTCCCGGCGATTTCACTCTTTCCATGGCTACCAGGGTCAGTGCCCCCGGTCCGTGTTACTCTTTGAAAACCGTTGAGATGTGTGACAATGTTTTATCATCATTTTCTAAATGGACGCCAAATGTTTTTGAATTCGTTTTTAGCAGATGATACTTCCAGTATCACTGCTTGTACAACACCTACTTAAACTAATATTAAGCAAATATTAAGCATTTTTAACCACATATTAAGCTTCTAGAGGGAGAAAGGGAGGGATAGGGGGATCGGTGGTCCCAAAAAAGGGGTTCGTCTCCGCCCACCTGTTGCACTACCTAGTGTCAGCAAAATATTAAGCAAATATTAAGCATTTTAACCACATATTAAGCTTTTAGAGGGAG